GCCCTTCACCCTTGCACCGTGGCCCGTAGCCACGCAACAAACCCAAGCCCGTAGCCTTCATTCAAATCCAGCCCAGTTGGCTGGGTGTTTCCCACGGCATGCACCAGCCTACAATGTTGTGCCTTTTCTCCCGTAACCCAAACCTGCAAGCCAGCTTTCGCTAGACCTACCCGTGCCACCCCGTAGGCCCTTGGGCCTGTCCCGTCTCTAGACCCGTGGCCTGCAGCCACCCCACGGGCTGCTTTAGCAGTCACCCGAGCTTTTTGGTCACGGAACCAAGCCCAAATTATTTTGGGGCTATATTTTCGATCCAATAATATTATTTAGCTTCTACAATCGACCCGGTATGGCCTGATTTATTGAATTAATTAAAAGTGACCTGCAGTCCATTAATCTGATAATGAATCCAAAATTATTGACCTGAAGATCACTTTTGGGCATTAACGATTCAATAATTTATTTTTGTACTTTGAACCGTCACATACTTTCGTAGTGACGAATCTCTCACACTTGAGTTCCCGAAGAACCTCAAATCCACTATATCCAAATTAGTATATTGCATTCTGTGTTTTTTTGCAGGAACCTCTCGTTATGAACTAATTGTTCATAAAACTAAATTGAACCTGTAGTTTCAAATTTAGTGCCTTTGAAACCCGAAGTTTTCATTCAAAACATACCACATGAAACCCGTAGTTTTCATGCATAAATTAAACCACTACATGTCTATAGAACCTGTATGTTCTACGATATATGTCTATGGCTTACCATATGACTAATCACGTTTTCTCCCTCAGTTTTAGGGACATGTCGAACTTGAACAAGCTCGATTTCTCCGCTCTAGAAGTCTCTGGAAGAAACTAGCTGAAGTGGGTTCAAGACGTGAAGCTCCATCTCACTGCAAAGGGTATTAGAGCCACCATCGAGGCACCTACTGCCGATAAACCTGTTGACGAAGCTCAGAAGCCTATTGCAATGATCTTCATCCGAAGACACATTCATGATGCACTGCAGACTGAGTATCTCGCTGAGGAAGACCCATGCACCCTCTGGCTTGCTCTGGCCAACCGTTTCGATCATCAGAAAGACATATACTTGCCTGAAGCAAGACACAATTGGCAGCATCTCCGTTTCCAGGACTTACCTTTTTTATTTATGTGAAGAAAAAAAAATTGTGGACAAATAAAAAATATCCAAACCGATAGTCTATGATATTGCTCCGTAAGTCTTTGTATTTAGTGGGCAAGGTGGTTGAAACTTGAAACAGTACCACAGCGTTCGGATCATCTGTGCCATTTTGGTGCATATCATTTTGATATGGGTAATGATAGAGAGATTAAATTTAGAAATAAAATTTACAAACTAAATGATATGTCACCAATAGGAATGAACACGTTTATCAATGTTTAAGTAATAAACCAATCATCAACTTCCATGTTCTTTAATTTCAAAAATTTTGCCCACAAATTTAATTTCCCTAACATTGTCGTTTTGCTATTCATCAAGTCTAAGTCAAAGGGAGCCATGACTCGTGGTGAATACTTCAACGCCAGAGACAGAGAGAGATTATTGGTTCCCTCTATTTCCTAAACAATACATAATTTGGTACAATTACACTAGTTGAAATTCACACACTGTATGTATAAACCTAAGAAAATATAAAGAATGTGTGTCAATCATTGTTCTAAAAATCCTCGTCCAGGCGCTAGGCGGCTAGCCACCGCCCCGATTAATGCCTAGGCATTTGAAAATTAAGAAAGGGCGCCTAGACCTGATGAGGCACCCGCCTAGACCGTCCAAACCCGCCTAGGCACCCGCTTAGGTTGCGACTCATTTAGACAGAAAATAGATCACTTTCATTTTGTACTTTAATTTTTTCAATAAATTGTAAGAGACTTGCTGAATAGTTAAATGAACACACATTATATGCGTGTTCCCCATGTTTTCATTATGTTCCTATAGTTTATAATATATGTCATTCTATTTGAAGTTTATGATGAAATTATATATATTTTAAGTATAAACAGACACTTATTTATACGAAATATAATAGATTTATTTAAATTCACCTAGTCTACCTAGGCGCCCGCCTAGACCCCTCTAGCCGCCTAGGCGCTAGGCCCCAACCCGCCACCCAACTAGCGCCTAGCGTCTTTTAGAACCTTGGTGTCAATTAGCATTTACCTCAATCCTTCTAACAAGTAACATTGGGTAAAATATGACGTTTCTATTATAATTGTTAACATAGGATGGAATTTTGTATGACTTTAAATAGGCTATTCTTTTATAGAGTATTACTTTATATCAGTTTTATTGTACTTGCATCCCTCCATATAGGTATGTATATATCCCAACTTTTTGTAAATAACGTATCTTCACCGTGTACATGTTATAATTGAGACTGTCCAATTTCTTAATCATTATTTTTGAAGATCATCTCTACAAAAAATCAGTTGAATTAGAGATCGTTTATGCATCCAAATGTATGGAACAAATCAATAGTGCGAGTACCAAATAACATATTTATAGTGAACCGTCCATTTACTTAGTACACCTAGATAACTAAATGAACTTTGATTCAAATAGGTTTTTTTAAGGGACAATATATCTTCAAATGAAGATTAAGAAATTAAACTGTTTCAGGTATGAAATTTACATGGTGAAGATACGTTATTCGTAAGGGGTAAGATATGTTCATTCCCCCATGAAATTGCATGTATTATTCTATTTAATTTTAGTACTAAAAATAAGATGTATCATATCGGTATTGTAATATACTTAGTACTACGGTATAGTGATATTCTTCTACACTGGTAAGTGAGAGGTCTTAGATTCGATTCTTGCCAAAAGCGAATTTAAACCACATTATTGCTAGCCCATTGTAAAGCTTAATCCATGACTTTAAGTCTTTTAACTATATAAATAAAGACTTTCCTTTTTATTTATGTGAATAAAAAATAATAAAAAGAACTTCAAAACTTTACATTTTAACCAAAAATCATCTATTAACTTAATTTACTGATAAAGACAAAAAAAAAACATAAAATATAAGCATGTGTGCCCAGCGCGCGTTAAGTTTCATAAACAATGTAGTAAGTTTCATAAACAATGTAGTAAGTTTCATAAACAGTGTAGTACCGTTAAATTTTATAAACAATGTAGTTCCGTTAAGTTTCATAAACAGTATGTGTGAGGATGCGCGGGTCCCAAGCGTCAGTATTTTTTTTTAATATTAAAATTTAAGTTTTTTTTGTCCTTTTTATTAAAGTATAAGAGTTTTTCATTAAAATTTAAGTCTTTTTCATTAAATAAAGTTATAGCATGATTTTTTGTTAAAATAAACTTGGCCCAAGTTCTTTTCATGAAAGTTCCCAATTGTGGACACATAAAAATATTTCCAAACCGATGGTCTCATGAAATTGCTTCGTAAGTCTTTGTACATATAGTGGGCAAAGGTGGTTGAAACAATACCACAGCGTTCGGATCATCTGTGCCATTTCGGTGCATATCATTATATTCCTCAGTCAAAGGGACTGCTATGACTCAAGGGGAGTCTAAAAGGTCTCCTACTACAATGTGGATGCACCAACTGGGAAGATGATCAAGTTTGACTTCGACGCCAGGGAAAGAGAGATTATTGGTTCCCCCTATTTCCTTAACATTACATAATTTGGTATAATTACACTAGATGAAATTCACACGCTGTATGTATAAATTTAAGAAAATATAAAGAACATGTATCAATTAGCATACCATGCATTTATCTCAATCCGTCTAACAAGTAACAACGATAACATTGTAGAAATACATTTGAGTAACATAGGACGTTTGGAAACTATTACAATTGTTAACATAGGACGTATGACACTTGGTTCAGAGGTAACAACTCGATGTTTGGAGTAAGTGGCAAATTGAAGATTTTTTTTCTGTAAGTGGACAAAGTAAGCTTGTAAGTTACTTTTATTCAAAATTTTGAAATTCTGAATTTAGGTTAAATGATACATGTACTTTGATATGGTGTTATTGATGAAGTTGCCTTGTTGGTGAGCGTGTTTTGGCGATGATGGCGCCAGCAAAATTGATGAAGAAAGTTGGGACAGAGAAATTTGTGTGAAGTGGATAAATGGGTTTGATGAAGAAGAGAAGCAAAAAATGGTTATTGATTTCAGCACAATCCTATATAAAAACAAAAGGTTGTTGTCAATTTATTTAAGAATAATGCTTGGGAAACTAAGGACCAAAAGAGATGGCTTGGGGTCGCCAGCAGACGTTTGCTGTAGAAACAAAACGAAAAGGGAAAGCACATATGCGTGTGAAACAAAAACACGAAGGGTAGTGAATTTGTGTTTAAGTTCCACCAAGTTTTTTTTCTAAACAACTTCGCTGGTAGTGGGAGCCAAAGCTGATCTACTTAATTAATTAAGACCACCAAAAGATAAAGAAACACAAAGTTAACTTCACCTACTGCTTTTTAATTTGTACATATAAAGAATAATAGTGTTATCCACACACCTATTTTTACTTCTCACACACCCCTCTCAATCTTCGGATGTCGAATAGAATGGATTAAAGAAGATTAATGACAAAAAATTGACAAGGGTGTATGGAAAGTAAAAATAGGTGTGTGAATATCCTATAAAGAATACTAATGGGGTAATTAGTTAACATATCAACTTACTTTGGGAATTTACAGCATTTTAGTTTATTGTTGGTTTTATACAACAATATATTTACATTAAGTGAGTGAGGAATAAATTGGTTGCGAACTTGCTATTCTTGATATTCAAACGTCATACTTTTTACTTTCAAAGAATATCAATAGACCGTACTACTAAGTGACTCATTCTTTTAAAATTGAAAAACTTGTGTGATAAGTGTTTTCAGCATTCAATTGTTTAGTACTGATTTTTTATTTAAATAAAAACAATTACCTAACAAGTTTTTCAATTAAAAAAAAAAGTAAAAATAAGAAATTGAAAAAAAAAAGGTTATTAAGCGGTCTCTTGACTAAACATTAGGTTAAATAGAGCCTTTAAAGCAAGGAATTCACATTTTTTTTTAAATGCCCCATTTAAAATATAAAAAAATAGTTGTGGAGCCCACACCACAATTACAACTAATCATTAATCACTATATACATATTCAGTGAGCATTCCATCTGTCACAGTGACCCTGGCCAACCAAAAGCTCTGGTCGTATCTCTCGAAGTATTTCCGAGCTAACGTTGTTCCAAACAACGTGTGGGCCTCTGCCAGCTCTAATGCATTATCGTCAATGGCCTGCTAGAAGGTGTCAATATGCATCTCCTCTTTTAAGTTTGCTTCCTGCTAAGTCTCGTCCAGTTTTGATTGAATGGTTGCTCTGTCGACATCCAATGAACTTCACTCTGCCGCAAGTGTACACTCCGCGTTGTCATTGACCTTCAATGATTGTGCAAATTCGCCTCAAGATGAGCCACCTGCACGGCTAAGTAATCGATCCTCCTTTCTTCACAAAGCTACCGCTCTGATAGAACATCACACTTGAATATAAGTTTCTCAAAATTTGTGTTCCTTTCTTGCAATTGTCTCTCCAACTGAATTTGACGGCCTAGCTCAACCTTGCAAGCCGCTTCTACCATGAGGATCTTGTTCGTCTGGCTCTAGAATGCAGCCTCTGTCAAGGCATTAGCCTAGGGAGAAACATCCAAGATAGGTTAAGTATAGGAGCTAATGGAGGAATCAAGGATTAAAAGAAAATAAAGAAAACTTACCGCATAAGGAATCGGGTAGCAATTCCTCACCACATGGTCAAATTTGGAGATCATCTCCTCAAAGTCAATTTGGGAAATAGCTGAACAGAGTAAAGCCTAAGCATGTTTTGCGTTGTGAAGACCGCACACATTTGAAGGAAGCAACTCAAGTTAGACGATGTGTATTATTATTAGAGGTCTTCACAACTCGAATGCAGAAGATGGGCGAGGAAGCAACTACAAAATTCAAGTTAGACGATATGTATTATTAGAGATCTTTTATTGGAGGAAGCAACTCGAATGCAGAAAAGCACCGGAGTCAGATTATAGAGAGCGATGTCGAAGCAATCTAGTACCTGTTTTAAGAATAGGGATGGTGGGAATTTTAGTCCCAAATCCAGGTACCAAGGGTAGATCACGGTACATTGGCATTCTGAATTGGTAGGTGTAGGGAAAGGATTTCGAACATTGTGACCAGCCTCTCACTAGACGGTACAACCATTCAAGAGGTGTTGACGGAGACGAACAAAAGCTTTTTCTTCCTCTTTGTTACGCACCCTTACCATTGAGGGCTCAAACTGGAAATCGTAGTTAGCGGCAAGGGCAGGAAGCTTATTTAAGGGAGCAGCCATTAACGTCAAATCAAAGAAAGATTGAAGAAATTGAGCAAGGTGATGATGAAGGGTCGGAAAATTTTGAACGAATGATGTGCTAAAAAGTTCAATACTTTTGTTACAGGAAAAATTTGGGAATTTTTTAGAAGACAAATGAAGAGATCTGAAGATATTTAAGGAAGATAATTCGGAATCACCCAACTGTTAAATTTGGATCATCGTGTCTCAAGATCAACAAATCCGACAGATGAATTTTACTGGAGAAAGCAACGGACAGAACTTCATTTTTTGCGCACACGCAACTGAGACAATCCTCATCATTACAATATTAAAGGCACAATTCACGAGGTGGTGCACTCGAATGTGGAACACCTCAATATGCAAGAAGTTCGCAAGGTTCGAGCCAACATGATACGAGTTTAGAGAAAGAAAATAGTACGTATTGCGACTTACTCCAATACGCATGGTTTTTGGGTAACTATCATCCTTTAAGGGGAACAAGTCTTTTCAGATACATAGTTAGGGGTAATTGTGGGACCATTATTTTTCAAGGTCGGAATAAGGAAAATCGGCATACGAATTCCTTAGAAATCCGGTCATGGACTCAACAGCCTCCACTGCGGAGCTGACTAAATTGAGCAGCAATGCCGCAATCATTCTGTTTCACAATAAGTGGGTGAAGTCTGACGACTTCGCTAAGATTGAAGTCCTTACAATCTAAAGAATGGTGTGTGCTGCAAGGAATCACACTCCTAAGAGGATTCAATATCTACTTCCTAGATATCGTCTGGGATTCTTCTGGTTTAACAAGGATTCTAATATTTTAAAAGTCCTTTCCTCTACTGTTATAAATACACTTTTATAGGGTTCATATCTGGTAACGCAATCTCTGCATACTATTCTCTTACCTACTACTTAAGTTTTAATATTGCTTATTAACTTGATCGTCGGGGAGCCTTTGACTGGCATTCCTTGGGTCTTCGGCTTACTCATGGTTATGTATTTTTTTACAAGTAAACGAGTTTGAGCATTTCCACCTCTTACGGCAGTAAGCAAATTTGGTTCCACCACCTTCTTAGCCGAAACTTCACCTTCATCCAATCTCGACTTCTTTGATTCTCGTTAGGACTCTGAACCAAATCTAATTACGAGCACTCATCTTTATCTGATCATGCATGCATTCTGATCCCTAGGATAATGTACATTTAACCAAAGCTCAATCTACTTTCTGGCAATTTCAACTCATATAGGACTCGTCAGAAGCACCTACGCTTCATCTCTTCACAAGGACTTAGTCGATCCTATTTATGGGCTAATAGCCCATTGGCCTGAAGATGCATACTGGACCAACAACTATGGTCCTCGAGTCAACCCATCTCGACCCAAACTGTTATTTCAACCCCAAACAATTAAATAATAAGCCAGAGTTTTGGTTTGCTTTAGACTCGCAATTTTGATTATCATTTAGTAATCTCTATTCTCTTAATTATCTTTAGTAATCTATTCTCTTATCTTCAATCCCTATGAATCCATGGGTATAAATAAAAATAAATAAATAACTAAATAAGAATATTAGAAAGGAATCAGTGGCACCTATGCAAATGCTTTCCTTTTCGTTTCTTTCCCTTCAAGACCAAAAACATAGGCAAGAGAACATCCCCGAGATAGGAGCGTAGGGAATTTAAAATAGGAATATGTAGAGGAGGCAAACGAAGCCCTAATATTTGGGGCTCACTGTGCACCATCAGTATTGAGCACCCTTCACTATTATGCTGTTGGAGCTTTCCCCACGAATATTCTTACAAATTACAATGACATTATAAATTGAACTTTATAATGTATTTGTAGGGCATAAGCCACCTCTCCAACTGTCAGTTCGTGAGTAGGAGTAACTTAAACAAGTACGAAAGCAAAAATCAATAATGTCAAATATGTGGAGTCAAAAATAATCACAAGGCGACATGTGGATTCTTGGGTAAAAGAGGACAAAAATACCCTTGAGGCATACTGGGATTCCTACGCGCGAGCAGCAGACAATCATCCCTAAATCAAGTCAAAAGTGCCCAAAATAGGTAACAATTTAAAGCCTATTTCATCAAATCCTTTCTATAAGGTAATTCCTAAAACCTAATTTATTCTATATATTTTGTATTCCATTATTTAGCTAATCAATTAGCTAAATGATATTTTCCTTTCATATTCCCTAAAAATTGAATAATTAAGGAATTAATTACCTAATCAATCCCTTAATTATCAATTAAAACACCCATTCACACCTAAAACTACTAAGAGGCCGGCCATCTCCCTTTTCCTAACCTTTTTCACTTTTCTCCATTTTATTACCCCATTTATACAAATAATCAATTTTGTAACTCCTAAATTAAACCCAAAAAACCCTAGCCACCTCCTATCCCTATAAATATACTCTCATTCTCACCAAAAAAGCCAATTTCCAACACTTTGGCAAAAATCCCAAAATTCTCTAAACACTCTTTCTCTCTAAATTCTAACTTTGGCATCGGAGGTTCTTCGGCCAAAGCCCCCCCCATTCATCGTGGGCGCGCGAGGCTCTTGGCCTTAACCTAAGGTGTTAATTGTTTGGTAGGTGCAAAATTGTCCAAGATCAAGGAGGAAGAAATTTGCATCCACAAAATAGACATGATCAAATCAAAGTTATTGACAATCATGATCTGATAACGTACGCGCAAAATCGCCCTAAAGATGAAAGGTAAGTTTGAATCAATTCTCCTCATGAAGAAAATTGGTAGAGTTTAAAGCGTACATTATATTCTGGTTTTGTGAATGATGAAGGTTGAAGTTCCACTTTCATCAAATCAATAGGCATTTTTAGCAGTAGTTTAACTATTTTTAAGCACATGCAATGTCACTTTAATTAATGTGGGGTTCATACTTTCAACACGTCTCTTCTCGTATGACGAATTTTCAAGTGTAACCCATAGACAATACAAATCGAGTGACGTAGAGCACGGGTGGCCGTTAGGCTTCACACATTGGACAATTTACTTTGGTACTACGAAGGAATGTGGCGTTCCACCATAGAACTAATTGGAAATGAGTAATGTTAGGTAGACCAATTTTTACACCAAATTTGCATACTATGTGATATGTCACCAATAAAAAATAAGCACATTAATCAATAATTAAGTAATAATTCAATCATCCACATCATATGGTTTACAAAATTAGTCTAAATAATTCGTCTTCTAAATATCCATTGAAAAAATGTGAAATAACTAAACTACTTATAAACACATGCAAATTTTGTTTCCGTTGTGAGATTTATACTCTCTTAGCTGAGTACAAGACAATTGTTCATACGTCTATCGTCACATACCTCGGGCGTGAAGAACTTTAAGTTTTATGAAGTATATATATGTAAGTTTATCTTATAATATGAAACACACTAAAATATCAGTTGGACGTTAACAGTTACACTTAAGTTCTTTGAGCTACTACACCAATATAACACTTACTGTTCCCATGATATCGAATGAGTAATGAAATAAAACATAAAAGTTGGATCTCCCGCCATACATTCCACCTACCAAAACCATAAACCAAATATATAACAAAGCATGCTTCATACGATATTGAGGTTCTCTCTCTCTCTCTCTCTCTCTCTCTCTCTCTCTCTCTCTCTCTCTCTCTCATCATCACCAAATATATAACAAAGCATGCTTCATACGATATTGAGGTTCTCTCTCTCTCTCATCACCATCAGACATTTAATTATAAAGAAAACTAACGAAAAGTTTTAAAAAATTTTTTAATGAAAAATGACAAATAAAGGTGTAGTGAATAGTACCAATAAAAGGTAAAAATGATGTTTTTCGTTAAAAGTGAACAATACTGAAAGTGTTTCGTTAAAAGTCCCTTAATTATATGGATTCAAAGTATGCCACGCCTGTGATTTGATTTGATGTGTAATGATCATTTTTCCTGGATTTTTCAATTCATTTCTCATGAAAATAGGATAAATCGCCAAAATGGTCTTTGAGATTTGCAAAAGTGGAATGAAAATAGGATAAATCGCCAAATTGATAAAAGTGGTCCCTGAAATTGTCCACCATCCATCATTTTGGTCCTTCCGGAGCTCTTGGGCGGAAGTTTGTGCAATTTTCAAAGCTTCGTAACTCAATCGTTTCTTAATCAAATTCGACCCATAATATATCAAAATGAAGATAGGAAAGTGTAAAATAAGATTATACCTATTTCAAAGCCCAATGGTTGCCGGAGATGGCCGGAAAATAGCATCAAAGTTGACTGGTCCAAGTGAAAACTTGAAAACTCACCAGAAACTGGGTAAACTTTAAACGTTCATAACTTCTTCCATACTCAACGACATCAAGTGATTCAAAAACGAAAATCATACTTCTCGACGAGACAAAGAGAATGGTACCTTTTTTTATGGCTAAATAACAGTGGTTTGGCCGGAAAACGGCTCGAAAGTGGCTAACTCGAGACAAAGACAGCCACTTTCGAGTCGTTTTCTGGCCATACAACGGCGATTTAGGCATAAAAAAAGGTACCATTATCTTTTTCTTGTCGAGAAGTATGATTTTCGTTTTTTGAATCACTTGAATTCATTGAGTATTGAAGAAGTTATGAACGTTTAAAGTTTACCCAGTTTCCAGCGAGTTTTCAAGTTTTCACTCGGACCAATCAACTTTGGTGCTATTTTCCGGAAATCTCCGGCAACCATTGGGCTTCGAAATAGGTATAATCTTATTCTACACTTTCCTATCTTTATTTTGATATATTATGGGTCGAATTTGGTTAAGAAACGATTGAGTTACGAAGCTTTGAAAATTGCCCAAACTTCCAGCCAAGAGCTTCGGGACACTTAACGGAGTTTTTAACGGAATGACCAAAATGATGAATGATGGACAATCTCAGGGACCACTTTTATCGATTTGGAATCTCAGGGACCAAAGTGATGAGTTATGCAAATCTCAGGGACCATTTTGACGATTTACCCCATGAAAATATAATAATGCCTATTAATTCTACCAAACTTTCAACTTGGAAGACCAACGAGTGAGTGTTTCCTTTTCTATGTTTTGGTTTTTTTTTTTTAATTGAAATTTTGCTCTCTTATGAAAATAGCCATCAATCACCATCTTTTCTAAAGCAAGGGTCCCGTAGTCCTAAAATTTTTTGTTCAAAAAACAGACCACATACTGTTTAATTTTAATTTAACAATTGCAAAGAACCGTTGTACTTGCTGTTAGATTAAAATTGAAAGGTGGTTGATCACAGTTTTGTTAGGCTAAAAGAACAAGAGT